GTGCTCTACAAGGTCTGTGCAGCCGAGGTCATGATATCCTTTCGAAAAGACGTCTGCATAATTTGCCAAAGTTTCTTTTACCTGAAGAGCCTGTGATGATGCCAAATGGGCTATGCTCTTCTTATAGAGGTCAGTTAAGATTCTTGAAGTGTATGTCCTTTCTTTACAGTTGTATTTCTTGCTTCAACATTGACTGGCTCTACCTCCTGGCACACACCCAACAATGTCTCGTCTTTAAGTGTCTGTTCACATTTAGAGAAATTGGCCACTGTTATAGGTACTACTTTATGACCTGCCACAAGTGACCTTCTAATGTTCACATCCGCTGGCCTGGATAGATTTTTCACTGCTTGCACAAGCATTGGGCTTCCTTGGGGATGTTCTTTTATCCTACCCCAAATTATCTTCTCTGACATAGGGGGTATAGTAGATGACTTAAGTGCTGTGACATGTAAATCAACAGATGCAGCAACACTTACTGGAATTTGGCCTTTGTTGTTTTCAATTGTCATTTTATCGAAGTTAACTACACACTTCCTCGGTAGTAAATAGTCCAATCCTAATATGCATTGGTCTTCAATGTCAACCAAGTATACTTTCTGTCTGTTCTTCATGCCCATGAGCTCGATAGTAACCCACACTCGTCCCCACAACCTTGCATAATGTCTTGTCACACCACAGAGTTTCTGTATGGCTTCTGGTATGCCTTTGTGATCCAGCACGTTGATACTCACAAGGGTTTGCTGAGATGCAGAATCTATGAGAAAGTTGCACATTTGGCCATCCAGCTTTCCTGTCACGTAGACACGATGTGTGCTTGCCATTTTACACTTAGCTGTTGGGACTTTCACGATGGGGGTTGGTGGGCGTCCCTCAGCCCCAACCACTACTGATTTCCCCAAGCTAACTTATTGGTGGTATTCTTCTTACACTGGCTCCTCATATGTCCTTGCTCTCCACAGTTCCAACAACCTTTCTGGGTAGCAGCCTTTCCTGCTGTATCATCTCCCCTGTGTTGAAGTTTCCAGCATTGAGCTCTCTTGTGCCCAGGTTTGTTACAGTGCCAGCAAAGTCCCTCTAACTTCTCTGAAAGCTGACCTTTTCTGGCCTTGAATCCTGATGACTGTACCAACCTTGGTACCTCTGTCCTGGACTTAACGTAGGATTCAAATTCAAGAGCTCTGGCCATTGCATCTTGCATAGTAGAGGGGTGTGCTTGCTTCATTTATATCTTCAGTTGTGGACTGTCCAAAGCATTTACAAACTGATCCCTCAGCAACAACTTGAGGAGATCGGGTGGTGCAGTTGGGTTGGCCTTGTGTGTCATACTTTCCAAGTCCTGTGCCAGCTCTTGCAGGCCCTCCCCTTTAGCATGGACCTCTCGTCCTAAACCTAGCCCTGTAGACTTCAGACTGATTTTGGGTTCCATACCTGAGTACTAGAGCTGCAACCAGTGCTCTATAGTTGTGCTTGTCGTCTGCTGACAATTGTCCAAGTATTTTCAGTGGTTGTCCCTTGAAGCTCGTTGTCAGATATACTGCTTTCTGCTTCTATGTCCATCCATCCATTTCTGCCAGAAGCTCAAATTGTGCTCTGTATGCTTCCCACGGTGCCTTCCCATCGAATTCCTTCGTACTGGATCACCCATATTGCTGACATTCATATCTGGGATGTGA